TACATTACATTACATTACATTACATTACATTACATTACATTACATTACATTACATACATACAGTATATTACGATTACCTGCCCATGCAGTGCCATGCAGGCTGGCATCTGCAACTGCAGGATTCAATCCAAGCTACACATCTTCTGCCAAGGCAGGTTGTCGAAATATGCAACTTCCATGACGATGAGGGCAAGGGTTCCTCAAGCATACCTCACAGCAGCCCCGATGTATCTATCCGGGCAAACGTGGCAAGAGCGGAACCACAGGACATGTATTGGAGAATGTTCAACACCACCCTAGTGAGTTTCCTGACCAAGTTTCATGCTCAAATCCAGCATGTGACAGCACGTGGTCGCAGCAGTAGTCTATTAAATAGGCATCATGCTGCTGGTAGAACTCAGAAAGCTGCATCACCTTGGCCACAACAAGTGAAACCCAGAACTGACCACGTTGACCTGAACAACCGTACTGAAAGCTCAAACAACTCCAGCGAGGACCTGCCATCCCTCAACGGCCGACTTGTGTTCCATTCCCGAAGTTTGTCGCAACTTGGTGCAAGGAATAGAAGGAAGTGATCTGAGGTTTTCTTTAAAACAGAAAGAGCGGGGCACAAAGAAAGCATTTCAATATCGGGAATTGGCCATTTTGGGGGCACTCAATGGCACTAGGCCCAGACATGGCTCTGTCAGGCCCCAAAAGACTGGCCCACCAGCGGCGCTCGCAGCTGCCTCCTGCAGCAAGCGGTGCGCTCGCCGCTTCCGGGCAGCTGCCCAGAAAGACAAAAGCCTCAGAGATCTTTAACTCATGGCAATGGCAGTGTGATATATGGATAGTCCGTGCTGGCCAACCAAGCATCATGAACTACACTCCATGTTGAGTCCCAGGTTTGTGTAAAGCAATGCTTGACCAATTGTACTTGCATACTTGATGCCTGGAACTCACCCTCACGGGCGAAACTTGTCACGCATGCTCACATATGCTCCCGTTGGCATTCATTTGGCAACCCTAGTCGTCGGGACAAAGCTCCAACGAGCTTGAACTGTTGTTGAAGTGCTTGGGAAGCTTATGCCACTTTGCGGCTTTGTGGATCCAAACGGGTCGGGGCCAACCGATTGCATCGATTGCATTAGTGGCACGGCCAAGTAGCCATGCAAGGCATTGGTAGTTAGTGCGGTCCAACTCCTGATGAATGTCCTGGCCATCGGTTTGTGCAAGTATGCAAGTGTCATGACGATGGTTGACCATGTTTGAGCATTGAAGCCAACTTGTGCAATGGACTTTGTCTTTCTTCAAGCATTCTTTGAGCAAACTTGGTTGCCCAAAACACGCGCTGCCATCCTCCAGTTTGCTCACGCTGCGTTGCAAACGCCCCAGCTTCTGCAAGCGAGAGGCGCGGTCGTGACGGTGTCGAAACCATAGGACCTGATGTATGTGTGAGGCACTCTCGCCTGAGACTAGTGATGTTTGCGCCTTGCACTTGTGCGCCAAATCCTTCAAACATCTTCAAAACATCATTGAATGGAGCACATGATTTGTCAGACTTTCAAATTTGCACGTGGATGCAAGTGGCCTTCTATGTGTAACACATCATCCAGCATGTCAAATGTCTCTGGTTCTCCGTGATTCTGATGCTGACATGTCTTAACAATTCGATCCTAAATTTGCCCATTAGTTGAAAATAGTTCAGAAGTATTTCCCCTTCGCACCATGAGCCCCTCACAAGACCAGCGCTTACCAGCACAGCTCCAGCAAAGACGGCTATCAATGCATTGTAGGCGTCCAAAGCAATTGTGCCAGGGTCAGGGTCGGTCAACATAGAGGTCGTGTTTCCAACCAGTGCGCCAAGGCAGTCCTTGGTGCTGAATTGCCACCAGCAGTGTTGTCAGTAAAAGTGCTTTCTACATGCACAAAATGATCAAATTCATCCACAACATATCTTGGAAGGTGTGACTCTCTTTGTTGGGTAAGCAAGCTCACCATGATTGGTGTGTGACCACACCAAACTCCTGGTGAGTGTACTCATGTACATTTCCAATTATCCGACAGTGTCCCGGAAATTCCCTTACATTGTACTGCTCCTGCATGTGTATGATACTGTAGGAATAAAATTGCTACTTGTAATATCTTGTAATCTGGTGAGTGCAGCTCAAAGAATCTATGTGGTTCATGTAAAGATAAACACACACCTGACTATCAAAGACTGCCACGGATTACACGCTCATTCGCTGCTGTCATACTCAATGAAAAAATATCACTCTTAATTCCGCGGGATTGAGCCAGTGAAACTAACCTCGCACCAGGACCACATCTTCACGCGCAATCATCTTCAAGTTCCAGGCAAAAAGTCTGCCAGAGCACAGTATACAAGCCTGTACGAGGAGCCCCAAGTGGCTGTGTCGAGGGCCCTGGAGCTCAGGTCACCGGATCAGCTGGCCAGTATACCCCATTCGACCTTACAAGCTGAGGCAGCTTCGAACATTCCTCGACACCTTCTGACTGATGTGCAAAGAGATTGCCACGTAAGTCCAAAAGGCAAACAGAGACGCCCCTCAAAGGCACTCGGATCAACACCTCAAAAGGAATCTCGGAGAGTTTGCTTTCGCCCAAGGACAACAGTGGTTTCAGCACAGGTTCCTCGAGGTGTCTCCAAAGCTCACAAAGCCGAGCGAGGAGGCTTCGATATAAAAATCCATCCTCAAGGGTCAACGAAAATACAAACAGGTCATAATACTCTCTGAAGGATTCAATGCACAACTCCCCAGCCGACTCCAACTGTGACTGGAAGTTGTGCTCAATGCAGCTGGAGGAAACTGCCACTTGTACGGACCACTGTGAGAGCAAATCAAAATCAATCAGAACAGGTCTCCCATCTGGTCGTCGAAGGACATTGGGCAGTTTGAGGTCATTGTGGAACCCAAATCGCCGCATCAGCATCACCTGCTGCAACAAGGCATCAACATCCACCTTGGACCACTCGGAAGTAAAGGCCTCCAGGCGCTCCATGAAAATGACCGTTCCCGCAAAATGCCCTCCAAGGACCTGCTGTATGCGGCCATGACCAAAAATTGCCGGGCCAAAGCCCTCGCGATCTGCCAGGAGGCTGTTGCCGATGGCAGCCTTATGAACCCAGGGTCGCTCACTGTCGCTGATGATCTTTGCAGCAACTGGACCGAGCCCATAAACCTTTGCGTAACTGCCTTCCCCCAACTCTTCCACATGCTCTAGTGTCTCTCCGTCTCTCTGAGCATATTTTTCAATGCCCAGGAGGGTTATCAAAATATGGCGGATCACCCTGACCATGTCAGCGCCTGGAAATGGTCTGTAGAACGCGTCTGCCTGGAAGTCGCCCCATTTCCCACGCAAGAGTCCTTTCGTCGTGTTCAGCACCTCACAGGAACAGGCCTTTGTTAAGGCCTCATCAGGTTCTCCCAGTGGCGCAAAACCCTCGGCAGGACCTTTTCCACTGGTGCTCCCCATGGCTCGTGTAAGTAGGCCCCCAGCCGAGCCCATCATGTGCATCTAACAAGGCTGATGCTCGAGCGGAACAGCAAAATCAAACACATTCTACGATAATGCCAACACAGAAAGCTCGACTTCAACTCAGAGTTGAACAAATGCTACTATTATCATCCAAAATCCACTGTGTGGTCCTCATTTTCTCCCAAGCCTGCCAAGAGATGCCGAGAGTCAATGGCATCACCTTGGGTGCCCCAAAAGCCCAAGAGCGCAGTGTTGTTTTGTGAGCCCTCCAGTGCGATGCTCCGGTTGGGATCCCCTTCCCCCGCTTCGCAGCTCTGACCGTTTGATGTTTGAAGCTCCAAGCGCCCGAAGAAGTCCCAGGTGGGATGCTGGAACAGCCGCAACGAGACTAAGACCTGGGCGTACCATGCCCGGAGCTGGGCCGTAATATATAAGTGACACGGCTTGTGAAAAACAATGAAAACATGAGAACGCACGTAAGATTTGTGTACGGAACTGAAAGCGGTGCCACACGCCGGCCTAGGGTTCCATTTCCTAAGAGTACGAATAAGAACCACAGGTGCCTCGGGGTCTTCAAACGGAGAGGGGGCCAAACTCGTAAGGCGAAACCGATCCGACAGAGTGACGGCGTTCCGTGCGTGACTGCAGCGACGTGCAGTGTCATGTCTTGGAGGTTCTGGGCTTAGCCTCATGCCGAAAGGAATTGCAGGTACGTCTGGCTGATCAGGCCAGATATCCGCATGTAATGTGGCCGCTTCGTTGGACCATCGCTCACAGTACATGGATGGTCCCCCTGCCGAAAAGATCAAAAATTCAAAAGTGAGAACAGTCCGAAAGGATCCCTGTGATTCCAAGGGGTACACACACACGCCTCCCCAAAGGGAGGCACAAATTAAGGCTAGGGCGAAAGTGCAAATGTGCGCGCCTCAAGGACAAAAGGGTGAAGACATGAGAAGGAGGACGAGACGGAGACAAAAGTGTGTGTGGTTGCGATGAAAGAGAAACCAAGTGCACAGGGACAACCGATGAAACCCACCTCATTGTCGAGACCTGGGCGACCTAAAACCTGAGTGTGCAAGTAGATGTGCGCGTACAGACTAAGGCCCAGACCGTTGTGCGCGCAAAAGAAAGAGAGGAGTGAGATGAAAGGACATGAAGCAAGGGAAGACATGAAAAGAAAGAAGAGAAAGAGGTGTGTGAAGGGGAAAGAATGAAAAGGGGAACCAAATGGAGGGGACGGGAGAACCTCATTAGAGAACCTAGGCGTACGCCGTGCCAAAATGGCTGGCTGCTTTGACCGCTGCGGTCACGTAAGGGCATGAGCCAACTTGGAATTCCAAAAATGAGACAAACATCCAACTTCTTATGGCATAAGCCAGCTACTGTCCGCTGCGGACATCTGCGTTCCCAGAGCCGGGGAACATGGACAAACCCCCGTTCGACGGGTCTACGGGAGGCACTCTGCGGGCTCGATCCCGGGTTGGCACGAGGCCAAACACGCGTAAGATATGTGTACGGAACTGAAAGCGGTGCCACACGCCGGCCTAGGGTTCCATTTCCTAAGAGTACGAATAAGAACCACAGGTGCCTCGGGGTCTTCAAACGGAGAGGGGGCCAAACTCGTAAGGCGAAACCGATCCGACAGAGTGACGGCGTTCCGTGCGTGACTGTGCAGCGACGTGCAGTGTCATGTCTTGGAGGTTCTGGGCTTAGCCTCATGCCATTCGAAAGGAATTGCAGGTACGTCTGGCTGATCAGGCCAGATATCCGCATGTACTGTGGCCGCTTCGTTGGACCATCGCTCACAGTACATGGATGGTCCCCCTGCTGAAAAACTCAAAAACTCCAAAAGTGAGAACAATCCGATAGGATCCCTGTGATTCCAAGGAGTACACATACACACACACACACTTCGACAAGGTTTCAGTCAGTGAGATAATCCACGGAGAAAGGAATGCAGGAACCGCCAAGATCGCTGGGTCAGTCGATGTGAAGGTGTTTCAACAAAATTGTTTGAACTGCGCAAGGCTCTGCCGCAAAGCTGCTGCACATCTGCTGGAGAGTGGTTTGGGGGAATAGCATGCAACAACCATGAAGCCAAGAAACAGCACCGGAAGATTGGAGTGTTGTCATCAGCAGGCACGTTCGGATGATCAGTCCGAATATCCCATTCTGTGACCTAGCTTCGTTGAACTGGGTCAGTCACAAAGTGCACAGTTCCCCCGCTGCTGGTTCAGCGGCATATCCATAGAGTTGGAACGAACTCGAAAGATTGATTCTGCGTGAAACAGGGTTTGACACAGGCAGCCGACCTTCTGGCGCTTTTGACTAAAGGGCCTGACTGCTGCATGCCTGGTTTTTGTCACATGAGCCGTCGGGAGACACACGAAGAGACATTCACGCCTTGGTGGTGAATCACAAAAGGGGTGAGCGAACTAGAAGGATTGTGGCTGTGAGTTCACTGATCCGGACAGTTGCTAATGAAGAGAATCAGCTGGCGCTTGGATGTTTTCTTGGAGGACTTGGATCGTTTTGGCGCTTACCTGGCAGGAGAACATGGATGGTTGGTGTTGGTTGCCAGCTGCACAGTGAAAGGCCCAGGCACCCCTCGTATGGAAGGGAAAGGGAAAAGGTTGTAGGCATGTTTGCAGTGTGTGGCTTGGTGTAGACGGCGCTCAGCAGCTCGGCAGCGCGGCGGCACTGCGCAGGTGAAAAGCCGTGTCTGGCGTACACTTCACTTGACTAAAAAGCATCATTTAGCACCTAAAAAGCCTTTAGCAACGAACGAAAGACATAGAAAGAACGAAAAAGGAAGGAAAGCAGCTCAACTCAGTAGATTCAGCGGCGCGGCTGCTTCAGCGGCACGGCTGATTGAATTCGATTATCAGGGTCCTTTGTTGCCCCGATCAAGCGCAGTTGCGAATGCGCTAAGAATAAGGTAACTGCCCAGTAGACAGCTTGGAAATTATGTAGGTCCTACATCTAGTGAATACTTAGCCCTTGACTTGAAAACTTAGCCCTTGACTCGATCAAGCACTCAGAATCCGATGGAAAAACAGTGGGCCCGGCGGCATAATTGCAGTTGGTTCATGAAAACCGATGGAGCTGTTAGCGGCAATCCAGTGCACAACACGAAAAGCTGTTAATTAGTGGCAGTCCCGCGTGGCTTCAGCGCCCCTACGCACCCGAGTGGGAAAGCGCAGCAGTTCACACTTCGACAAGGTTTCATTCAGTGAGATAATCCACGGAGAAAGGAATGCAGGAACCGCAAGATCGCTGGGTCAGTCGATGTGAAGGTGTTTTAACATAATTGGTTGAACTGCGCGAGATTCTGCCGCAAAGCTGCTGCACATCTGCTGGAGAGTGGTTTGGGGGAATAGCATGCAACAACCATGAAACCAAGAAACAGCGCCGGAAGATTGGAGTGTTGTCATCAGCAGGCACGTTCGGATGATCAGTCCGAATATCCCAGTCTGTGACCTAGCTTCGTTGAACTGGGTCAGTCACAAAGTGCACAGGCTAGCTTCATTGAACTGGGTCAGTCACAGAGTGCCCAGTTCCCCCGCTGCTGGTTCAGCTGCACATTCACGGTTCAGCTGCATATTCATAGAGTTGGAACGAACTCGAAAGATCGATTCTGCGAGCCCTTTGAAAATTTGACAGACACAAACACACACACACACACACACACACACACACACGCACACACGACACTCCACTCTCCATCTCTCCAAGAATCTTGGATGGGTCAAACCAACACCTATATGCATATTGGTGCGTCAATTGAAAAAGATTACTTTTTAACAGCAGGACATATTTGACGATCGTGCCACCACCCGCCACAAAAATGTCACGTTGCCGGAGTTTGTGAAATCCCTAAGAAGCAAAAGGTGCTAAGAAGCAAACACTTCTGAAGTACTACACTTACCAATGTACGCCAAAACTCGACTCATCAATCAGGTTAAATTATTTTGTATTATCTATTTGTTCTGCTCAGGATGAGCTCGAATTTTTGTGAAGTAATTACATGATATTACATGTATTAATGAGAGAAATTGAAACCCTTGATGATCCTCATGGTCTTTGGCCCATTCGGCTCAGCGACTTCCTTTGGGCTGAAATGGAGTGTGCATTGCTCATCAACGTTGGAGAGGTCTACAGCCTGGCCAATGCGAATGTATTCCTCAGAGCCCACAAATCGAAAGCGCAGAGCTGTAATCAATCCTTCTGCACCGGCATAGACTCCCAGCTCTTGAATCCCTTTGTGCGAGACATCTACAAAGAAGCGACCTGAAGTGCCACCAGCGCAACGCAGGGACCCATCTTCATTGTAGGCGACACTCTGGGCATAGTCGGGTAAAAAAACGGTGCGACCTGCCCAAACTTCTCGGTGTTGCAAGGGCTGCATCAAAACCCCAATTTGAGTGATCGACGTCGACGCTCGACCCCATAGGCCCAGCAAGTGGAAGCGATAGTTGGGGGAGAAGTGGTAGCCGAGCCCTTGGTCTTTGCCAATCAAACAGCGCTGGTCATCTTGAACAAATTCGATTCCTTGAATGTATGGAGATTCCGGAGTGATCGGGCTGCCCTCTGTGTTGTGATAGGTCTGATTCTTTTGAACCTTCGTGGTGAACACAATGACTTTATCAAGCTTCTGCCCAACAAAGTCACAGTGAGATTCGGGGCTTGAAAAGTTTGGTTCTCCGGCAAAGCGGGCCACTTCACCTCCAATAGAGTACCTGCCACGCCACTCTTTCAACATGCAATGCATCCTGTGTAGAAACAACATGAGAGAGTACAGTATGGGGCGCTTCTCTTCTAATTGCACTCACATGCTTTCTTTTGAAGTCGCAGGTTGCAAGTTTCTGCACTGGGCCAATCATGGTTGAACATCCACAGTTTCTGTTCAGCCATGCCCGGCCTGAGTCTCAAAGCGATGCCTTCATGGTCTTTGCTTGTCCAAGCTTCAATCTGCTCGAGCCCTGTGCTGGCAATCACGAACGGGTCACCTTTGCACTGTCCCACTGCGTGGTGGTAGCCAAAGAAAGCGACTTGCTCCTGCGGTTGCTGTAAAGAAAAAAACACGGAAGAACAAGCAGACTCAAAGCACGTGTAGATTCAAAGCTTATGCCAAGTCCTGACTGAAGCCATAGGGCCAATCTTCTCTGCAAATAAACGTGCTGTCAGCAAACCACTGGCTCACTGCCAACAAAAAAGCGTAGGGCAAAATGCCTGCCATGAATACTGCATCCCCTAAATGGGTGACGCACGAGACTCAACTACTGCTTGCTGAGCCAAGTTTCGTGAGTCCAAATTGGATCAGGTGTGAGTGAGAACAGGTGACTGGAATCTCTGTGCAAACCGAAATGGACAAACCGGGAGACCAGCGCAGCACGACGGATCATCGTTTCATTATGACTGGCATTGCACCCGCGCCATGCGCCATGAAACCACCTCTTCATTCATTTCATCGCTTTAGTCCCTGGGCCCGCTGCCCATTCGTGCCATCCAGTGGGAACCTCAGATTCATCAATGAGGCAGTTTGGCCGGTCTTCGCAAAACACCGCGGTGTCACACCATCCGCATCAAATCCAAAAAGGGTCCCTATTCCAGCGCCACCCTGCTAGCTTGTGGAATTCACTGGCCAACTATGCATGTATTCCTCGCGGTGCCATCTAACTGTTTACTACCAACTTTGCGAGTAGACTGTATGACCCAAGGCAAGTGAAGAAGAAATTAATAAAGCGTGCGCAAGTGCAAGCTGAAGCTTGTTTTTTGCTTGCCCAAGGCTGCTACTGCCGCAGCCATTGGTTCAAGTGCTTTGCAAACTGCGCATAGCTATCCTGCACGAAAACAGCTTCTGGGATATGATGTGATGTAAACCAATCCTACACCAAGGTTGCAGTTACACTGAATCTAGCAACTGAAGAGATGTGGCCAAACAGCCAAAGCGGCATCCTTGACTCGTAGTACCTATCATGCTGCATGCGAGTTCCAATATATTGTACACACATTCAGCAAAACACGATTATATATTTATAAATGATAAACTTTGTCTGTCTTGCGACATCGTTGCTAGTCTTGAACATGGATTCCACCAGGCCCTCTTGACTTGATCATATATAATGTGAGGGGAAGCCATATGGGCTTGTGAAAAGGATCATTGCCAGGAATTGCCAAACCTGACATAGATAGACGCCATAAACAAAATGAGATGTCCACCTACTGGCTGGCAGCTGTTAAGTGAGCTTTGTTCGACACAAAGGCTCCAACTGCCAAATGGTCAACATGGTGTTTGCATGTGATGACTACCACCCGCCAGTTGGACATGAGCCGAATCCCAAAAAACCTTCCTATCATAAGCACGTGTTCCCGATGTCTTCCCCCACCATCAATCCATCCTTCCAAACATCCCAACCCAAAGAGCAAAAGACACCTGCAAATCATCGTATGTCCAATTGCTTACCCAAGCTGTATATTGAGCTGGAAGCGGAGCCGGTTCTTTATTCTACGCATCTACCTCAATTTCTGGAGCTCAACTGCTTCCAGAATATAGAAACACCTGTCCCAAGTCCCTTCTGTCACCTACAAACCTCTTTCTTTCTGCATGCTGAACTCTCTCCCTCTCTCTACACTGTCCTTGAAGCGTGCCCTTGGATCATTGCGGATCTGTGCAGGGCCCCGCCTCAGAGATTTTGCTGGGCCCCGTGCATCAATGTCGGTCCACTGGGCCACGGGACTTTGCTCGTGGATCTTGAGGTTCATGGCTCACAACCTGGAACCGCCAAAGCTCTGAGCTGCAGAATCTGATCTTTCAACGCACTCCATAACAAGGGCAAGCTGTGCTGGGTTCATCTAGTAAAGCTTCATCTACAGCACGGCAACTTCCCAAGCTTGAGTCAGGCAAACTGAATGTCCCAAGGTCACAGTCAGTCGCTAGTGAGCTTGGCTCATGACGGAAGCTCCGATGCGAGTGGTGAAGAAAGGTGCACGGCCTCTCTCTCTCTCTCATTCATCCCCGGGCCAAGGCCGCTAAGTGGCTAAGCAACCTGGTAAGCTTCGCAAGCAAAGGTGGATGTTGGAATCTGAATACAACAAGTACCCCATACTCCGCTCTAGTCACAGACTCTAGTCTGCCGGTTTTCACCACAGTTCCTTAATTCCCCAAAAAGCACTTGGCTGTACACACCTGATTACTTTGGCCAAATGCATGCGTGACGAACATGTCGAAGTGTCTGGGAAGCCCACAGCCGGGTCCGAAGGTTGAGGACGTCATTGGCCATGTAGAGCTCACTCTTGCGAGTGTTAGAGTCTAGTTATAAATAGTTACAAGCTATAAGTTACATGTTACACATTTGAGAACAAAACAGTCCTGTTGTCCAAACGGTCCAAGGGGGTATCTATAAGACTGGTTTATAGAGTCCCTTTTCGTTTCCTCAACTTTTTTTGATGTGTGCTGAAGTCTTTGAGCAAAACCAATCTAAAGCCTTCGATGGAAGCCGTTCTAAACCTGTGCAAACAAACATGTCTGATGATGGATTATTCCTAAGATCTGCTTCCTACAAGCCAACTGACGAAGGACACCCGCGCAAGGCCTATAAGCACGGCTTGGTTTCATGCAAATCACAAACCTGCCAACGCTTTCGGGACCCAACATTTACAGTAACGGCTTTCCAATGAAATCACTGTCACGGCTTTGAGTCAGCCACGCGACTTGATGCCATGGGTCGGCATGGGTTCCATCAGTGAGAATACTACGGGAATACCTTGGCTCCGATGTCGTGGCAGTTCTTTCATTTACAGTATGACATTCGCAGGAAGTTGCCCAAAAATGCCGGAAGGTGGCAACATTTGGCCTGAAGCGCCGCTAGTGAGGTTTCTAACTTGTGGACCTGTTGTACACACCCCAAGATCTCTTGGAGCAAGGACGCTAGGGAATCCTCGTGATTTCCTCCTGTACTCCCTTTCACACATGGATGACTACAATCAGCCCTTTGCAAAGATGACATCTCATCGTTATAGGACTGGGTGCAGGACCCTGAGGAATCAACGCAATGTTCAATCCAGTTTCTCCGGCGAAATTGCAGGCGTTGCTCGCCGGGTTGTCTTTGCAAAAGACTTTGCACTGAGCAATTATCTTCAAGAGTATCCCTTGCAAAGATCCAACGAGCTACTGTGGGAGACTGACTCCCACCATCAAAAGATCGTGCGCTTCGCCTGTACATCTGGGCAAGTACGAGAAGCGCACTTCTCAGCCACGAGCTCCGCCCAACACATTCCCACCAGAGATGTTGATATCGATGCCGGTGATATATGAGGACTCCTTCCCATGAGCTGAACAGGCATCCGGCATGCTTACTTGGTACAAGGAAATCTTCGAAAGGCTGGCGGCTGACGAGAAGCTTCAATCTCCATCATCTTCTCTCACTTTGCCCACTTAATTCGTATAGAAATAATGTAGACAGGTGTTGCAAAGAAAACATCTCGAATGCCTCCTGGAAAGCCTGCTTCTGAATGCCCCCACCTCGCTCAAGAGGAACATCACGCTCTGCACCACCTCCTCAGGAGTGCCCAAGCGTCGCAAAGGAACGGACTCCTGGGACATCGGCGCCAAAGGGTGAAACAGGAAGGGAACAGTTGGCTGATCAAACAACTCGGCGCTAGGGTGCAGCCTAGAAAAGTCCGATGGGACATCGACTTCATACTACTTCATCTCGCATGGCGAAAGAGGTCTGATCAAAAGGTGTGGGCCGCACCAACATCTGCTTTGCCACTTCGTCTGGATCATTGGAATAGTACCGCCTGGTCACACGAAGGTCGCTCGAAGGGATGGCTTGTGGGCCTGCAAAAGGCAGGCATCTGCCATGAATTGCGTAGGTATTGAACCCCTGCTCCATGTTGGACAATGGCAACCAAACAAAAGAGTCCACCAACCACAGTTTTGAGTCTTCGCTGTTGATCCAAGTGCCGGCTACTTGCGGCTACTTTCTCATTTGAATATCTTTGATTCACCTGTCAACCAGCTGAGCGGGGTCTCTAAAGCATCTGATGCACATGATTGGCATGCGAACTCCGGCTAATGCAGCTAGTTCCCCAATGTGATAGCACCCTGAGGCAATAATGATACATAACAAAAAACGTCTAAACACAATTAATTAGACAGAAACAAACAACCAAAGAAAAAAAACAGTAACATCACCTATGCTACAAATCGTCATACATCTCTTTGTTCTTTTGGATCTCTTGAGTCAACCTGCACCATCGTTACGACATCTCATGTCGACCGCTGCCCTCCTCCCGGTGATACGGCGCGGTCTACGCGTCCCACGTCTCTGAGGCGTCGTCTCGGGCGTCTCGGGCGGTCTGACGAGTGGCTCCGGAGCGTTGGTTGGATTGGCTTTTGCCTGAAGTTCCACCTGTCTGCGCCACATAAAGCCATCCTCCGGTCCAATAAAGGCCTGGTAGCAGAATGGCGGGAGCGAAACTGAAAGGGCGAGAATGTGACCACGGCAGTCTGAAAATATTTTGACCTGCGAGCGCGCAGAAATATGCAGAAATTCCTTTTACAAGTATCAGAAACATGACTGATCACTGCTTTGTTGTGTTCGATCTGTCCAGCTGGACTATCGAGTCAGTCAGTGAAACTCGGGCAACCTCTTTCACTTTTCCATTGCATGAAAAGGCGATGCAACCCATGCTTTGTGATGAAGAAGGACATGTCCGATGCTTCTGCATTCGGGGCGCTTAGAAAGCACAACATCCAAGTTTCTATACAAACCATGTTACCTGTCACATCGTGTTGCATGTACATCAGCCCATGGTCCTTTTGTTCTAATATGTTTTAATATGTTTTAATCTTTCCTTGCAGGTCTCTCAATTGCATGGTCTTCCATTTGTCTTTCTCACCCAACATATCGAGTTTGCATCCTCATGCGTCCAACTGCGGACATTTCGATGATTTCCACCGAACCGAACGCATTGGCGACGGACCCGCGGACCCTCCGCGCCGGACTCACGGAGTTCACGCGCACGTTGCTGGGCGCCAGGTCCAAGGCCGAGATCTTGGTGAGGTGCATCACTGCTGCCTTGCCTCAAAAGAACGCTCAAAAAGAAACGCTCAAAATTGGATCATTGGATTCTTGGCTTCTCCTTTCTGTCTTTTTTGTTGGAGGGGGGTGCTGGTTCAAAACAACGGTTTAGACACCAAAGTGTGATGTGCAGGGGTTGCTGGATGGTCATTTCTGGTTGTCGTCCAATTCAACAAACACCGCTTTTACAACCAGCAGTTTGACAAAGGAAATCAATGGAGCAGGAGGACATCGACAACTTGGATGCAATCTATTCCAGCCCAACTCTGCAAATGCGAGTGATGCGAAGCTAGTTTATCTTTTTTCCCTGCCAGCGGCGCATTCCAACCATGGAAGGTGTAAGCTGTACTCAAAGCGTGGGAAGGGAGCTTATGTCCCAAATATATAAATAATCTCAGCAGGGTTTGCTTTTGTAGCTCCACAACTTGTTTATCTGCGGTTCTTCACCAGCAAGCTAGAATTGCACTAAACAATGGCCGGTGTCCATCAAAAGGTAGCAGGTAGGCATATCTGCATGACCAATAGTTCAACACAAAAAACTGCATCCGCCGCCGCTGCATGCATACTGCTTGGGCTCAACTCCGCTAGGACATTGTACTCGAGAGTTGGTTGAGGGACATGTCCAAATGCCTCAGTACTGAAACTTTGCCCAAAGAAGGATTGGTGACATTTCAACGTAGAATAATGTTGGATCACGATTAGTAAAGGGGACTTCTATAATGCTAAATTTTTCCAAAATTATTCAGACCCCCCTGTTTGAAAAATGGTACCTCTATAATGCTAATGTTTTTTTTGGCCCTAAATTTTTAAATTGGAAACCCAATTAATGAGGGTTTGAATTCCTTCTGAACCCTGTCCACCTGCACTCCCCCCCCTTCCTTCTGAACCCAATTAAACCCTTTATAAAACATTGCTCCTAAACAAATTTTCAAGGTAGTCGACCAGGAAGGCACCTGATCCTCAAAAATAAATTTGTTTTTGGGACCTCAATTGTGAATTTTTTTTTCCACTGGAAAAATGCACATGGAATCTCCCTTTACTTAGCTCCTGAGGCCAATGGTTCTGATTCATTAGCTGATATAGCTTTCTCTAGGCTTCTTCAAAACTGACAGCTGACCAAAACCACCAGTTCCCCAATTAAACCCTTTATAAAACATTGCTCC